TTGTTATTTGAGAGTTTAATGACGATATGCGCAGGTTTTGTCCGCGTCGGTCTTTAGCATGTTGCTAGCTGCTAACTCTTCGGTCCACACAGGCCAATATAAAACACCGAGTGTTTGACATTTTAACTTCTCTCTTATTCTCGTCGCTTTGTTTTGTGTTTGAATGATTATATGTGGGTTTTTTTTTTTTAATAAAAACGCTGCGGGAAGCTCGGACTCATCTCTGCGTGTTGCTGTCGTGCCGCTGTTTCTCCGCCAGGCGTCGCTGTTTGCCGCGGCTCCCGGGCTAACGGCCCTGATGAGCGGCTCGGTTCTGGCTGCCAGCGAGGCCAAGAAGAAGAACTCCCAGGCCGCTCTGAGCATCGACGAGGTGACGTCATCAGCCACTGGGTTTGGGTTGAGTTTTTTTTCAACTCAGATTTGTTATAGAAACACTAAGCAACTAGTTGTTAAAATCAGACATTAGTTACCAAGAAAACCATTAATCTAAACATCTGTCTTTGCTGGTTGCTCCAGTTGCCGTCTCTGTACACCAGACCCGAGTCGACGCCGGCGCCGCTGCAGCCGGAGGCGGGCCAGCTGGAGCAGAGCGTGGCGTCCATGAGGAAATGGGCCACACCGTATACAGACAGCTGTCAGGTGGGTGAGGCACAGTGGTGGCAGCAGCGTGCTGTGGGGAGGCTGTTCTTCAGCAGCAACACTCAAGCAGAAGGGAAGGTGGTTTTCCTTCCACTAAACTTTTATTCACGGCTTTCTGTGCATCACATAAAATCCGAATGAAACAGAAATTTGTGTTTGATTATTTGGTTTCTGAGAATTTTAATTATTGCTGTTTTGGTTGTTTGTATGTTTAAAATGTTTTTCAGGTCCAGTGAGAAATGTTCTCTAGAAATTAAAGGGTTGTTTTGCTTGTGAGAGTGAATATTTGCATTAATATAATATTATTATTGTATATGTATTATATGTAAAAAGTAACTATCGTTTGTCGCAATAATTTCTGGAACAATTTATGTTCAGAGTTTTTGGTGACAGGCCTTTTGATTCCTGCAGGAATCAGTTCAGCTTCTTTCTGATTTATTTCTGTTTTTGTTCATAAACCAGATTAACTCTGCTGTTTTTTTCCCATCATGCAGTTTTTACTTCCTGTTGTACTAGTTTAATAATTAGCCGTTAATAAAGAGTTTAAAGGGTTTTTATTGTTTTGTTTTTGCAGCAAAATGTCCGGCTGGCAGTGGAGAAAGTTGAGGTAAATTCACCAAATCATTCACTGCTTAGACAGAAGAAAGTTTAAGTTTATTTAAATGTTTTAGTGATATTTTTATAAATGTATATAGACCGGTAACGTCTTTAGTGTAACTCACTTTTAGAACATAATTGACCAATAATTGAATGTTTAGGTGAAAACAGAAGCAAAGATGTGAAAAAACAATTTTCCTCTTTACAAATTTTTCTGGTTTTGCTTTTTTTGTTTCATAAATACTTTTAAATTAATGTTTTATATAAAGAAGTCGACATAATTTTCATTTTGATGGTTAATTTTTCAGTTTTTTCAGGAGTGAATCAGTTTTCTCTGTTATAACAGCCTGTGTTGGATGGACGGTTCGTTTTTACGGTTTATGTGAATTAATCCGATGTTATAATGTAATTTATAAAGATAAATGTGTTGTTAAAATCAAAAAATTTTTGCATTACAGCAGGTTTACAGAACGGCGGAGCCGACAGTGAACGCATCGTTATCGACCATCAGAGGTGAGCAGAACAAGATGGCGGATGATGAATATTCAGACAAATAATTAATAAACATGAATAAAATATACATAATATTCTCCCTGGTTGTTGTTGGTTCTGGTACTGAAAAGCTTCTTGGTTCTGTTATGTTCCTGGTTCTGGTTCACTCAGAAACGTACGGTTCCTCAGGACCCGCCTCCGGACCCTATCCCAGCGCCGCCGCCATCGGTTTCTCCGCTTCCTGGGACTCTACCTGGCCAGAGGTACCGTCTGTGTTCTGTACATGAGACCGGACCGGGTCGGGTCGATCTGGACCCATCTGACCAGGTCGGGTTGATCTGGACCCGGTCGGTCTCACATGTTCTGCTCCTCCAGGCTCCAGGCTGAAGCAGTTGGCGTTTCCTGCGGGCCTCATGGCGCTCAGCGCCTCCATGTTTTACCCCCAGCAGGCCGCCGGCCTGGCCAAGGTGAGCAGCCCGACCCGGAACTGGTTCTGGTTCTGGATCAGATTTCTTTCAGGCTTCCTCTGAACTGGGATTAAACCTGTTGGCCGCCATGACACTTTTATTGATTATCTATCATTATTTGTATCAGGTTACTTTGGACTCAGTTCTTGTTTATGTTGCATTCTGGGATCATTTCAACCCATAAATTCATCCTGAACAAAGATGGCGGACGTTTGACCTTTGAACCTCATTTTGACATCAAATAGTTTCTAAAGTTTTTCTTTCATTTCTTTATTAAACTCCAGGAGTTTTACTGGTTTCCAGTTTCATAACCTTCATGCTGGGAGATAAAAATATTTTCTTTGAGGTTTAACTCGGGAAGCAGCCGCCCGTTCTGCTTCTCTTCATGTTATTGATCTTTAATAGATGATTTATTTTCTGGTTTAATTTGGGGGAAAACTTTTCTGGCGTTTGGAAACAAACATTTTCCTTGTGACACATGATGATGTCAACATGGTGGAATTTAGCTCTTAGCGTTAGCTTCCACTAAATGCCACTATTATTGATCTATTTCTCTGATTAGTCCTTTCAATGTGATCAGTTTGGTTCTTCTAAGAAAAAGTTTCGACACAAATCAGGGACGTTTTTTTCCAGTTTATTCGTTGTAACTAAATTACTTGATTCTGAATTTTATTGTCATTTATTTTCCATTTTCACCAGTCGAGTCGAGACCAGGTGCTCACCTGGACTCGGCAGGGCCGCGTTGCCATGGAAACTCTGTGGAAAGATCCCCCATTTAGCAAGAAAAAGGTCAGTCTGCAAAAAGTACCCTCTGCTGACCCCACTGTGACCCCACAGTGACCCCACTGTGACCCCACACTGACCCCACTGTGACCCCACACTGACCCCGTTGTGACCCCACACTGATCCCACACTGACCCCGCTGTGACCCCACACTGACCCCACACTGACCCCGCTGTGACCCCACACTGACCCAGCTGTGACCCCACACTGACCCCACAGTGACCCCACACTGATCCCACACTGACCCAGCTGTGACCCCACACTGACCCCGCTGTGACCCCACACTGACCCCGCTGTGACCCCACACTGACCCTGCTGTGACCCCACACTGACCCCGCTGTGACCCCACACTGACCCCGCTGTGACCCCACACTGACTGTTAATCCTTTCATGTCAGAATAGGTTTTGGTGTGAAAAATGATTTTTTCAGTTTAGTGATAATAAATATTGATCTGTTTGTGTTTGAGGCGGTGAAACCCAGGAAGTCAGAAGAAGCAGAGAGCAGAAACAGCTGATCAGCTGCAGGTCGCAGAAACCCGAACCGAACCGGTTCTGAAGCACGGCGGCCGTTTCCAGGAAGCTTCTTGGAACCGGTTCTTCCTCCTCTGCTCTTCATCGTTTTCTCTCTCCTGTGATCTGAGCGACCCGGCGCCGTAAACACGGCGCCGTAAACACCCGGCGCCGTAAACACCCAGCGCCGTAAACACCCGGCGCCGTAAACACCGGCGCCATAAACACCCGGCGTCGCCGCGGCTTCAGACCGACGCTGACTTGGCCTGTCAGTTCGCAGGATCGGCTGCGGTTCTGTGCTTCCTCGCTGGTTCTGTCCAAACCAAATCTCACTGCCGTCTCACACCTCCCAAACATTTAGTTGGAAAAGTTTAGATTATGAATCACGACGCTGGAGAGGCAGCATCACCTGCTGACCCACTGCTGACCCCACCGCTGACCCCACCGCTGACCCCACCGCTGACCCCACTGCTGACCCACTGCTGACCCCACCGCTGACCCCACTGGGTCAAGGTGTCAGGAAATGAATGAAATGAAATCATTAATCCAGAAAATGAGTTGTAGTTGCAGCCCAACGTCAGTTGATTAAATACTCATCATGATGCTTTCTGCCTGTTTATCCTCCATAAATCTGATTAAATTGATGTTCATTCATGGCTGCATGTTCTCACTAAATATTATTTAATGATAATAAAACATATTTGGTGGTTTTGAAAGAGTTTTCTGATCTTTTCAGTTTCTTTACACTGTAAACCTTTTAAATTACGTCCAGTGAAACCAGTTCATGTTGGGTTTGGTCCCATCACCTTGTCAGGTACCAATACCTGCAACATGAATAATTATTGTTTCCTTTGTTCTGTTTTTATTGACGACATTTGAATAGTTACTGCATTTTAAACTTGTTTGTTTAACCAGAAAAGATCTGCAATGTTTTAAAAGTCTAAAATGATCAGGTTGTAGTTTCATAATCAAACCTCAGTGGCTTTTATTCTGTAGATTTTAAGGCAGTTTGGATCCATTATTGTTGCTCTGATGTCATCTGTTTATTTAAATAACTAAATTTCTCCTCTTTTCATTCATTACTATGTAACTGAGCCACCTTGTTCTCAAATTTCCATTCCCTGTTAAAATATTCAATAATCTGATTCATGTATTTCCTACAGATAATCAACCAGTAAAATGTTTCCCCATTTAAAAAACTGACTGATTCACTGGATTCTTCTGTTTTTATGGTGTTTGGAATCAAGTTTTAGATGTTTTATTACCTTTAGAAATGAAAAATACTAAAAACTTCATCCCAGATGATCTGAAACAATTTCCTAATATCCAATTTACTTTTATTCCTATCTCAATGTTAACATTCTTATTACATTCTAAAACTATTTCTAATTGTTCACAGTAATTCGAAGCTGTATTTTGTTCATCATTTCTTCTTGTTTTCCAGGTGACTAAAGACATTTTGTCTTTGCTGCTCGTTTATTGATTCTACAGTAACAAACCCAGAAATGCTGGTTAACATTAAGCAGAATAACATTTTAATAAACTAGAAGTAAACTCAGAATCACAATGTTGATACATTTTCCTGTTTGGAAGCTGAACTTGTAGAAATGAGCCGGTTTGAGTGGAGAGCCGAGACGATGGGTCGGTTTGGGCCTCGGTTTGGACCTCGGGTTTCCTCCCTGCGGTCACTCCTCTGCTGGCGTCGCCATCTTGACCAGGCTGTCCTTGTCGAACCGGAAGAGCCGCCAGCCCTCCTCCTGGGACAGATCCTCGGCGCCGCGCCGCTTGTAGAACTGGACCGACGGCTCGTTGTTCTCCGCCACCACGAACATCATGCCGGTGCAGCGAGTCTTCATGGCCAGCTGGACGAGATTTCAGACATTTTAATTATCTCCACGTGTAAAATATTTATTATCTGGGAAAATCTGGAGGCCGATTAAAGAAGCTAGAAGCGAGTTTCTTGTTTCTTACGTCACTGAGGTGCCGCAGGATTCCTGATCCGATGCCGAGCCCTGAACCAAGAGACCCAGTTCAAACTCTTTACTGGGGAAGCAGAGGAACAGAAACTGATTCACTCGGCGGTTTTCTCACCTCTGCATTTATCCATCACATAAAACTCCTCCAGGTACAGCTGCTTGCCCACCCAGGGGTCATAGGTGAAGTAGTACATGGCAAAGCCCACAACGTTCGGCTCTGCAGACAAAAGGGCGGTTAGTTTTTGTTTCTACAATCAGAAAATAGTCTGAGAGAAATCTCCACTTATCAACCTTTATTTATTGCAAAATCAGACTAACGTCCAATGATCTTTTTTTTTTACTGAACAACAGATTTTTATGCATCCAGTCAGAAAACAGCAGAATAAACATCAGGGATCCACATCCTGTTGGTTTTAAACAGAATAAACTGTTTAGAAAAATCTCAACATTTTGGTGTTTGCAGGTTTTGTTTTATTAAAATTTAACTTTTTGTTTGTAGTTTGAGGGGAAAATTTAAAAACAAAAATTTTTCTATTTGTGACCCTCAGTCTCTTTCCACTCGATGTTTTTGGTTTAACAACAGTTTGTGTTATCTCTGCTGATCTTGACTTTAATTCTGTATTTATGAATTTTAATGAGTTTTCCACCCGTCCTGATGAGCGGTCGTTCGCTCGCTGTGGGGGTGGAAATGTTTTTCTCCTTCTGAGGTGGTTGACCTCTGACCCCTTCTCCTGTGTTTCATGTGGAAACATCCCGGCTCTCATTTATCTTTGCTGTTACTGCTGAGTTTTTTCTGCAGATGGCTGAACACCTGCAGCCCTGACTTGGCTCTGCTACCGGACGTAAACAGGAAGCAGAGCTGCTGACGGACAAACCCAGGTGCTGGGAAACTGGAACTTGAAACCAGTCCAGTCTGCCTAGTTTCTCTCCACTGGTTCGTACCGTCGCTGCTGCTCTCTCCTGGAGTTTCAGCGATGATGCAGTGGTAAAACGGCGTTTCACCGAACCCATCCTCTAGGAGATCTGGAAGGAAGAAACTTTGTAACCAAACCATGAAGAAGAGCAGAAGAAACATCCAGACTGAAGGAGAACGAGACGCTCACCCTTTTCCGTCAGCGTGACCTGGCTCTCCATCTCTTCATATTTGCAAGTTCCTGAAATGACAGGAAGGTTTTAGTTGGGTGACTTTAGCACTGAACGCTAGCTTAACCGTAACAGAGCCACTGCTAGCAGCGTCTCACACTCAGGTTTAAACCTCCAGAGATCAGATTTGTCACTTTGAGTCAATGATGGTTTTAGTTAAACTGTTCTTTGGTTTACAGTAACTTCTCTCACGTCACTTCTCCTCACTGACTCTGATTGGGAACAAAGCTGCAACATTTGTTGCATTTCCAACTGCTGAAAATGAGTCAAACCGTTTGAGAAACATGTTCTCCTGCTCACCAGAGGGGGCGCTGCACCCAGAACCACTGAAGGAAACAACCAAAAATACCTCTGAAGAAACTTTCTTCTTCAGAAAATGAAGTGGTGTCATTTTTTAGCATTTGTAGGATTCTTCTGTTGTCATTTCTCCTGCTAGCACTAGCCTAGCATGTTTGTTTTGGTTGCATTTACCCAGAATGCAATGCGCTGCAGTCCACCGCCTGTTTTTTCTGTGGTTTTCGGTTTGTTTGCATTCAAACTGAACCAGTTCATTATTTTACGTGTCATCACAAATATTGAAACCTTTCATTTAATTGATCATTTCTGCAATGTTTTCAAACACAAACTAAAATCTCATTCTTTGATATTGTTTAACTCCATTAAAACAAGTTTGATATATTTGTATATTTTATTTGTGGTTTCTGATGTGTTATTACCTGTATTGGATTTCTGCACACAGCTGCAGTTCTGTGATCATTTCCAGTAAGTTTATTAATGTCCATAAGCCTCGCTGCCATTATGTTCCATTGTTTTATATAAAACGTAGTGAGATTAGACTGTAATCTAATATTCATATTTTGCAGAGATGCTGTGATGTGAAGTCAGGTTTGTTATTGATTTGTTATTGATGTCAGGTCAGCTGGTCACATTTTAAGCTCTACCACAGACACATGCCCATATATGGAGAAGCGGAAGTGAGAGCTGTTACGCGTCTCGGGGATCTGACCTCATTCTGTGTCATCCGCCACCAACCGACGTCAGTTTTATTTTTCCCCATCAAAACCATCAGCAGCCAGTTTGTCTCCTACCTTCACCAGTCGTAATATATCGGACACGTCTTTGGGCTCCGCTTTGCGTAATTTATACTCCATTTTCTTCTTTTACTCTTTTTTCCTTTCGTTAGAAGACCTCTGTATGTGAAGTGGAAGATCAGGTGTTTCTTCATTCGCTTCGCAGTGGCTTTTCCCCACAGTCAGCCTCTGGTCAGGTCCTGTTCGTCGGCGTAAGCTCATCCAGCTCTCGGTGGCCCTCTCTGGGTCGCTGCCGGTCAACTGCTCTGCCTTTGTTTACGCCGGCTGCTTTATAGCCGGCTCGCGCTCGACTCCTATTGGTCAGCTGACCGGGCTCTAAGATTTCTGACCAATCAGCAGCCGCCAGAGTTCTGTTCGTCCAATCAGCATAAAAAGGGCTGAACGTTGGATTTTTGTTTTGACTATTTAACATAAAAACTTTAAACATGATTTATTCTTCAATTAAAACAAAAAATAATAACTTTAAAGCGTATCTACATCGAATCATTCAAATTTATTTACTGCAGAAATGAATACATAGCTTGAAAACTATGTTTTAGTGCTCCAAATGTTATTAAATTGTAATTAATTGGAGGACAGCAGCTGTTACTGACCACAGAGGCAAGAAGAGGAATTTTCCATCCCTCCCAGAAGGGAAACCATGAGGGTTGGACTGAGGTCACAGCAAGGATTCTGATAATTCATGAATACAAGACGGTTAGAAGTGAATGTGTAACCAGACGTTGGTGTTTTCTGTATCTTTCACTGGTTGTTACTCTAAATCTTTTTGAATCAGTTGAAACTTTTTAAGGTCACAAAAACAACTCAAATAAATATGAGCTGATGATACTGATGATACCCTCTGAAGGCCTTTTTTATATTTTTTCCCAAATAAGAGACAATCCCAGTGCAGAGTCTGAATATTATAGAAAAAAACTAATGTACTAAAAGTATGAAAAGTTTGTTTCATACTTTTAATACTTACTTTTCACACCTGCTTAAATTTTAATATTTTCAAAAGGTCCTTTTAATCCAACAAATGAGACTAATTGGGACACATGTTCTAATTTATTGAATATAATTCAATAAATCAATGTTGCATTTAAAGTTCAGAAACCTGTTTAGTTCACAATGAGTTTCCTATGTTATATATGATTATGTTCCTTTAGAAATATAAATATCCATTATTGTCCCACAGTGGGAAATTTTAGTGCAGCATCAAGTTAAAGGTAAATGGAAAATGCATGTTGTTATATTAAGCAACTCACTGTGTAATCAGGGCAAGTTAAAAGTAGCATTTTCTTTTTAGATTCAAATGAACATGTAACCGATAAACAGCTACAGGAATATCAGTTGAAATGGTAAAACCTCTGCAGGTGCCAGCAGGGATGTAAACATTTAGATTTTGTTGGGAGCAGTGATGATTCTAAGTCTAATGGCTGCTGAGGGGGAGGATCTGTGATAATGTGCATTTAGGAAGCAGCACTGTGTCACTGGAGGAGCTCTGCAACTCAGCAGCCTCTTCATTACTGAGGTGAAGACAATAGTTTTAGCAACTGTAGCCACACTAACAGTTATTTAAAATATCAAAATATCTGTTTGATTATTGGAATTAAATTATATGAAGAAAACTATTTTATATTATCATATTTTTATGAGTCACTTATTTTCTAAAGTTATTTTTGATTTAAAATTACTATTTAATAAAAAGTAATATTTGAAGATGAGTTAATCCAGGATGTTAGTGTGAATCATTAAAGATAATAGTTGTGAAAGCATAAAAATAGAAACACTGCAAGTTACAACAATAATGCAGATCAATAGACGAAGTAGAACGTGGGTTATCTCGCTAGAGGTGCCTGGCAGACAGTACTCAGGGCATAAAAACCCCTTGCTGTGCAGTGACGCGTCATGCGTCAATTTAAGGGGAACGTGATGACGTATGAACCGGGAAGCAGATGTTTTTATGCCGAGTGTTCGGCGTCGCAGCGCAGCGCAGCGTCCTCCAGAGAAAGCCTGTGGTTTCTGTCCGGTTTCTCTTCTGTTCGTCGCTCAGTTCGGACCCAGAAACCGGTTCCGCTGTGAGCTCAGACTACATCATGTTCTCACCGAGGTTGGTTCCGATTTAAAACCAGTTTTAACGCTTCCGCTGCGGATTTCTAGCTCCTTCACCGCCGGTCTGACTGTCTCTCTGGGCTGATTAGAGCCTAATGAACTGGATGTAGCGGAGATTATTTACCTAATTTCTGGGATTAATGATGATGTATTTCTGTATTAATGTTGATGTATTTCTATCAAGAAGAAGTCAGTGAAGTCTGGGCGGAGGCGTTCATAAAAAGGAGTGTCTCCAGAACCGAGACCAGCAGAACCTTTCAGCCCATTAAATAAATCTTTACTCATATTTTCTATTCGCTCCCTGCTGCGTTACTTTGTTAAACTTCAGTGAAACAAATATAACTCCATTAAATACAAAGTGTAGTTTGAAACGAAGCTGTGATGATTTAAAGGGGAGAATGTGTGAGTTGGTGGATGTTTTGTTGATGTTTTGCTGATGTTTTATTTATGTTTTGTTGATGTTTTATTTGTTTTGTTGATGTTTTGCTGACGTTTTGTTGATGTTTTGTTGATGTTTTGTTGATGTTTTGCTGACGTTTTGTTGATGTTTTCTTTATGTTTTGTTGATGTTTTGCTGACGTTTTGTTGATGTTTTATTGATGTTGTTGATGTTTTATTGATGTTTTGTTGATGTTTTATTTATGTTTTGTTGATGTTTTGCTGACGTGTGTTGATGTTATTGATGTTTTGTTGATGTTTTATTTATGTTTGTTGATGTTTTGCTGACGTTTTGTTGATGTTTTATTGATGTTTTGCTGATGTTTTGTTGATGTTTTGCTGAGGTTTTGTTGATGTTTTGTTGATGTTTTGCTGACGTTGTTGATGTTTTGTTGATGTTTTGTTGATGTTTTGTTGATGTTTTATTGATGTTTGTTGATGTTTATTTATGTTTTGTTGATGTTTTGCTGATGTTTTGTTGATGTTTTATTGATGTTTTGTTGATGTTTTATTGATGTTTTGTTGATGTTTTGCTGATGTTTTGTTGATGTTTTATTGATGTTTTGTTGATGTTTTGTTGATGTTTTGCTGAGGTTTTGTTGATGTTTTGTTGATGTTTTGCTGATGTTTTGTTGATGTTTTGTTGATGTTTTGTTGATGTTTTGCTGAAGTTTTGTTGATGTTTTATTTATGTTTTGTTGATGTTTTGCTGACGTTTTGTTGATGTTTATTGATGTTTTGATGATGTTTTGTTGATGTTTTGTTGATGTTTTGCTGACGTTTTGTTGATGTTTTATTGATGTTTTGTGATGTTTTATTGATGTTTTGTTGATGTTTTGCTGATGTTTTGTTGATGTTTTATTGATGTTTTGTTGATGTTTTGCTGATGTTTTGTTGATGTTTTGCTGATGTTTTATTGATGTTTTGTTGATGTTTTGCTGATGTTTTATTGATGTTTTGTTGATGTTTTGCTTTATTTTGCTGCCTCTCCAGGTTGCTCTCTCTGAGGCCTGCTGCCTCCCTGCCCTGCAGATCTTTCTGCTCGGCTGCAGCATCCAGACGCGGCCTGGCTCCCGACATGGACCAGGGTGAGTCTGCAGACACAGATCTTCTTCAAGATCATATTTTCCTAAGAGTTTATGAAATTGTTGCCTTGAAAACTATGAACAGTAAAAAGTATTGACGCTCTGCTGGTTTTATGCTTCAGAATTGATTTTAAATTGATACATTTTACATTTTGAGCATCAATTTATATTTGTTGACCATCATCGATTGCAAACTATCAAAGTTTCACATGAATAAAACAATTATAAGTGACTTTTTCAATAAAACTGCACTTCTATTCAAGTAAATAGACAAAAACAATGCAATTTTAAATGCATAATATAATGAAGGACTAATAACAAAATAAATAATTGGATTAAATTATATTTTATGTGAGAAATGTTCACATTTCTGTATTTAAAAAAGTGATTCCATATTTGCTTTGCTTCATAATTTATTCATAATTAAAATTATTCTGTCATCTGATTGGTTGAATTTCACACAGACTCACCTCAACCAATCAGCTCCTATATAGCAGAATAAGCCCCGCCCACTGAATTTAATGTTGAAGCTGAATATAAATGAATGATTTACAGCAGTGTAGAAATGTGTTTAATATTATTAATGGTTATAACGATGTAATGAATCATAATAAATGAACATCATTACTTTATTTTCAATCATATGTAATTTTTCTCCAGATCAAACTAATTATCTAAACATTCCTGAGTTGAAGTAAAAATTAATTTGAGTTGTTTTTAGTTCTCTGGATGTTTAATGAGTTTTTATCTTGTTTTCTTTTTGCAGGAAATCCACTTTTACATGTTTCAAATGGTAAATTTAAACCAATCCTTTAATGATTTCATTTTCATTTTACTCTTAATTCCTCCTGCTTGTTGTTTTTATTCTTCCATTTTTTTGAAACTCGTCTGATTTCAGGGCTGCTTTTTAACCACAGCGTCTCTTTTAATCCTGTTTTTTCAGCGTTTTAAGCTGTTTTTCTCCTCCCTGTCTGTAGTTTTTAGTTTCTGGCTGGTTTAGTGGAGAAACAGTGAAATCTTCTGCAGTCCTTCATTCCTCTTCATCGTCGCTCTGGGAAACAAATCTGACTGTTTTCTCTTGTTTCAGTGCGAAACAGGCTGAGGGAAATAGTTGGAGCTTCAACAAACTGGAGGTAAATCAGTTATTTTACTGGTCGACGCTGAACTCTGATTTTCTTTGAGCTCATTTTCTTTTTTGTTGTAATTATTAGACAGGAAAAGATACTCAAGATGTGTAGAAAGAGTTTTAAATGACATTTTATTAACATAATTTCAATGTTTTTTCTTTACTGTGTGTTATTGTTGCCTAAAATCCATTTTTTTAATAAACATTAATGTTTAACTTAAACTAAAATCGCAGTTTAATATATAAATGTTATTTATCTCTTTATTTAATATTTTAAATATCATTAAATGTTATATACCTTTAAATGCAATAAGAAACATTTTTTATTAAAACAATCAGATTTTTGGTCTATAAACATTTCAAGTTACTAAACTTTAATTGCTGTTAATCACTTTGTTTCCTTGACGACTGAAGCTAAAATTTTCATCCTTTTTTTGTTGCCATGGCGACCTTAACAAGTAGCTTACCAAAATAAAAGCCTGTAGTCTCGGTTTGTCTGTTAAAGTAAAGAGTGAAATGCTGTCCTCTGTTTCTCTGTCGCTGTAGCGACCACCAGCAGGCCATGGCGGAGCGCGTGTCCCTGTCGTCCATGTTGGTCAGGTCTCAGGAAGAGCTTCCCGCCAAGCGGATGAAGGACAGCTTCCTGGAGGTTCACCTGCCTCTGGGGTCGGAGCCGGCGCTGCGGGAGAAATACCTGACCTACCACAACACCGTCAGGTAGCGCAGCGCCAGCCCCCACTTCCTGCTATTGCTCCTCTGACCTCTGACCTCTGTGTCTCTGATCAGGTTTGGGAGGATCCTGGAGGACCTGGACAGCCTGGCAGGTAAAAATAAGCAACAATGATAAATATTATATGTATATTTTTTTAAAATGAGAGACTGAAACGTTTCCTCCTCCTCCTCAGTCCTCATTTCTTACTCTCACACCTACAACCCGGCGCTGAAGCGTTCGCCGCTCTCCATCGTCACGGCGCTGGTGGATAAGATCGGTACGAGTCGGCGGTTCCGTCCGCGTCGCTGCCGGTTCTGTCGGGTCGGGTTCTGACGTTTGGTTTTCATGTTGCAGACATGAGGCAGCAAGTCGTCTACCCCGACTGCGACATCAAGTTCACGGGTCAGGTGACCTGGGTCGGGAGGTCGTCCATCGAGGCCAAGATGCACATGTCACAGGTGAACGCCGACCGACCCGGTTCTGGTCTGGTTCTGAACCGGTTCTCTGAGATTCTTCGTTGAACTTTGACTGTTTTTCTGGGATCTGAGTCCAACGGCACATTAGAGCCATGATGGAGGAAAGTTTGCACAAAAAATCTCAGAAATTGTCTAGAAAAAAATGTGAAAAGTCAAAAAAAAAAAAAAACTGAAATATTGAAATTAATCTCAAAAATGTTTCAGGAAAATTGTCAAAATTTCTGAGTTTGAAAAGTTTACAATTTTTTCAAAGTTTTTTCTAGAATGTGTCCAAGACGAATCACAACATGTTTTTCTAGAATATTTGCAACGTTTTCAGCTCAGAAATGTTCTTGACGAGTTCTGAGATCATAATTATGTTTTTTTTTCTCTTACAAATTTTGACTCAACCAACTGAGTTTTTTGTTGGAAATTTGCTCCGTTTTTATCTCTGGTGGCTCTAATACGATGTGGTAAAATCCCGAAGGAAGTAAATGAAGGTTTTGTTAGACGTTTTTTCTCCTCCTGCAGTACCGGGACGGAGCGTACGCCCCGGTTCTGGACGCTACGTTTGTGATGGTGGCCCGAGATCCGGGCAACAAGAGGTACCGACCCAACAGCTGCTCTCCTTCCTGTATACACATTAAACCTTTTAAAAACTGTCAAAAATGAAGCTCAGAAGTGTCAAATTCCTACAATTTATAGCATAATTAGCATCATTACTTAGCTTGGCCTTTGCTTTCTTATGCAGTTTGATTCTCATCTCACTTCTCTGCTCCATCTGGGATTTCTCCCATTGAACTCAATTCCTCTGGTACAATTTCAACCAATCAACAAACAAAATGAGACGGAATCAGAATGACGTCGATTTCTGGTGGATAATCTAGATCATTATATAAACTCTTAAATATGTCAAATGAAACTTAAATACATTAATCAAAGGCCTTTAGATTTTGTTGTGGCAGGTTTATTTACCTTGACATTTTCAGAGCGTTGTGTGACTTCTTGCAAATTTTCAAACCCTCAGATCAATAAATGTCTAGGTTTTTTTTCTCACAATGTTTCTGAAAATAATCTTAACATTTTAGAGCTTTTTGTAGCTAATATTTGACTTTTCAAGCTGAAACATTTCCAAGTTTTCTCTGGAAAGTTTCTGAAAATAATAATTTCAAGTGTTTTTTCCAGCAAACAAAATTTTCTGTGTCTTAAAACAAAAGTATAAATCTTCCCTTAACCCAGCTGATTGTTCTCCTGTTTGCAGAGCGGCGTTTGTGAATCCGCTGGCGCCTGAAGGTCCAGTGGAAGAGAAACTTCTGCAGGAAGGAGAAGGTGTGAATCCTTCAGGTGAACTTCTGACCTGCTGGACGAACTCTCACCCCGCTTTCTTCTTCTTCTTCTGTCCAGCTAATAAATCCCGTCGTGTGGAGCTGAGCACGGCGTCTCTGCTGAAAGTCGCTCCCACAAACGAAGAGCAGAAAATCATCCATGATCTGTTCCTCAACACTCTGGATGCAAAGTACGACCAGAAGTTTTTCTCCCGTCTTTATTTTGAACGTTTTGTGTTGATTTTATTTGTTCTTCACGCTGCTTTATGTCCGGTTTCAGCACAGTTAGTTTCCGCAGCAGAGTTTTGCCTCCCAACTCTGTCTGGATGGAAGACGCTAAACTGAAAGGCCTGGAGATCTGCCACCCTCAGGTGAGACACAACACATGCACAATGTGTCCATTTTAAGAGCTTTATTTTTGAAAATATATTTTTTCTAATTTGGATTGTGTCAATAGACCACAAAAAATCAGTCCAGGGGCCACAAATGGCCCCCGCCCCCTACTTTGAACACCCTTTGATTGAGAGAACAGAGATAATCCTGAGTTGAAGTGTGAAAGGTTTAGTCTGGAATAGGTTTTCTAACCTCCAGCTGTTTGTGTTTTGAGCAGCAGAGGAACATCTTCAACAGGATTTTCGGAGGTTTTCTCATGAGGAAAGCTTACGAGTTGGGCTGGGCCAACGCCTGCTCCTTCGGGTGAGAGACTCACTGACATCAGAGCAGACAACGCTCGGATGTTAGAGTTCAGGCCTGACGCTGCTCTCTGTGCTGCAGAGGATGCCGACCCAGTCTGGTGGCCGTGGATGATATTCTGTTCCAGAAACCCGTCGAGATCGGATCGTTGCTGATGCTCTCATCGCAGGTCAGACATGCAACGCTAAAGAGGTTTTAGGGTTAGGGTTAATCCTAATCTGCATTTTCAGTCTGTATGGATGTTAAAGACATGACAAGGTGGTTGATTAAATCTGCATTTAAATATTAACAACAAGAAAAGCATGAAAATTAAAAACTTATTTTTAGGTCAACGTTGCAAAAACACAAAATATTACCAAGTATTTTGTTTAGTTTCTAAAGTAAATATCTTTGTTCAGTTGAAATAAGATGAAACTAAGTTGATGTTTCATCAAGATGGAGAAACTTAAGTTAATATTTTCTTAATGTTGCTGAAAAAATATTAGTTCAACTGGAAGATTATTTAATTTATACCAACACATTTTCCCATGTTTAAGTAAAATAATCTATCAGTGGAACTAGAACCTTTTCCACAATATTAAGGAATTATTGACCTAAAGAAAATCTCCTACATTTGATGAAATGTTATTGAAAGGTTTCATATATTTAAACAAGACTGAACTACTTTAAGATTTTGTGCTTTTGCAAAATCTTTAAAAAAAGCAGAACCTCCTTCTGTCTTTCACCAAAAGCAACATAAAAAGCTACATTTATGTTTTATAAACTCATGTTTATCTTTGTTGTTGTGGCCGTTGATGGGTCATAAACGTCGGGGGCTTGTCTGGGATTTAAACATCTTACATGCCATCATGGTAAAGTATAATTGTACATTTATTGCAAATTTTCCCCAAAATGGTAAAAACCGTTGGGTATTTGTTGCTAACTCCCACCTGCAGGTGTCAGCGTTTCATATTTCTGATGCATATCAGCCTGGCTTGATGTGATTGAAATGATTAGCAACAGAAATTGAGCTTTTCAAGTACTTTAAAGAAAAGAAAGATGTGTAAAAGTTTTTTTCCCATTATTCTTCTATTTAGAGATTTTGGAATAAATTTGAGGGGAAAATATTGAAAATTTTTCCAAAGTTGCATCATTTAAATCTGTGATTTCATTACAGATTTCTGTCAGAAAATCTTTATAATTGAGTCGTAATTATTAGTTTTTGTTCCTGTGTTTCAGGTCTGCTACACCCAGGGGAAGTACATCCAGGTCAGAGTTCACAGCGAGGTGTTTGACCCGCTGACCCGGCAGCACAGCACCACCAACATCTTCCACTACACCTTCGCTTCGGACCGCGACGTTCCCAGCATCGTTCCCCGGACGTACGGAGGTGAGCCGGTTCTGGTTCTGGTTCTGGTTCTGGCTCTGGTTCTGGTTCTGGTTCTGGTTCTGGTTCTGGTTCTGGTTCTGGCTCTGGTTCTGGTTCTGGTTCTGGTTCTGGTCTTACTGGCTGCTTCCTCACAGATTTGACTGGAGTTTGTTTGTTTTCCAGAGTCGATGCTCTATCTGGACGGGAAAAGACACTTTAACCAAACCGTGGAGTCCTGACGGGTCGGAACCAAACCACAGGAAGCTTTCATGACAAACAACGAATGAAATTAAAATATTTCATGCCAAAGTTTTACAAACGTTTACGCTTTTGTTAGTATTTTTTATAAACCAAAACATTTAGTGGCGTCTCACCTATAGAAACACATAACTATCATGAATTATCTACATTTATTATGCTAAACTGACGGATCACGGCACTTTGTTTCTGCATGTGTTGATTTAATGCAAAGAATAATTTATATTTAGCTCATTTACAGTCGTTCCTGTTTTTAATTTTGTCTTAAACAGTGCTTCTTTCCTCTTGATTGTTAAAATCACATTATTGTGACATTTATCCAAAATAATTTTGTTCTATTTTTTGTTAATTTTTCCTTTCAGTATTTTTACTTTTGATTGGTAGTTTATGTGTTTTCATCAGAAACGTCAGGAATCTGCAGCTACGAGCGGCTCTTTGACCTACTTACTATGGCGAATTATAAAATTTTGCAATGTTTTATTTGGGTTGTTCTGTGTCCCTGTTAAAAAACAAAACATTGACAAATATGACCCAGACAGTGTGGTTAAGATCGATAAGTTAGTTATTGTAGATGGAAAAAATAAAGGAGTAAATTTCCATTTAAAGAAAAGTCAGAAGTTTTATGATTAACCTCAGAAATTTTTGACCCACAAAAATTTTACATTTTCTAGAAAAAAAAACATTTTAGAATTATTTTACATATTTTCTAGAAAAAAAGTAAATTTTCTGAGCTCATAAAGTCAGTTTTTGTCTTTTAGAGATTTTCTAAGTCAAACATTTTTGACTTTTCAAGCTCAGAAAATGTCCATGGTTTTTTTTCTTAAAAATTTCTGAATCTAATGAAAGAAATAGATTTTTTCTCTCTCAAATATTTGACTTTTGAGCTCTAAATGTAAAAAAACAAATTTCAGAACATTTTTAGAAATGTATTCCTTTTCATGTTTACAGTGGCCCAAATAAACCGGTCGTTTGGAGCTTTATGGAACCAAAGCTCATTCTGGTCCTTTCTGCTTATGAAACGTCAGATTTCTTGTTTTATCCATCTATGTGTAGATTGAAGTTGTGGATGTTAAAAAATAAATCGTCTTCCCACTTTACTTAGGACGGAATCTTTATTTAAAGCCCCCTGTTTCCAGTCGGACGGTAAGAACGCGGACATTAGCCACTAGCAGCAGCAGTTAATCCTGTCAGCAGTCACCGCGTCCTTCACTAGGATGAAAACCATGATGGCGATCATTTCAAACGCTCTGTGCCGGATCACAGGGAGGAGTGCGGTGAGTGGTTCTACTCTAGTTCGGAGGATCCGGACGGAACCGGTTCATACTAACCGGTAGCTGACCTTGCTAGCAGCAGCTAATGTCTTCCTGTGGTTATGTGACGCTATTTCTGCTCGGATGTTGCTTTTTGAACACGTGCTTAATGTCAGGGTAACTTGGTGGGTTTTTAGATGTTTTCTGAGTGAATAATTCTCTGTGTTTGTGGTGGTTTCCTTCCTCTAAGCAGCTTGTCCTGATGATGATGCTCTGATTTAACCATCAGTGAAGCTTGTTGCTCAAAATGCAGCTAAAACTTTAGGAGCTTGAATCATATAATCTTCTTTTCACAAGAAAATCTACTGAAATGTTGAATGAAACTTCAGTTTATGGTTGAAAACATCCAGTTGATTAAATGATCTTTTGTCAGCTGATGTTGCTCTGGATGCTGAACTCAATAATGAAGTTTCATTATAAAGATTTGTTAACTTGTTTCATCCTGAGCTGCTTTATTATTGTAAACTATTCCATTAGATCATTTATTAAACTGTAGATTTTTAAAGTTTTAAGTTTAGAAACTTGAATATGTCTGATTCTCTAGAGGCATGTTTAATACTCATCCAGATGGATAACCTTGACCTCCTTCCCCTAGGTTATTTATGAAGCTGATTATTTGGAAGTTATGAATAAATAACTTTCCACTCAATCATTGCATCTCTATCAGTAGTGAACCTGAACGCAGCATGTAAAGGTTAACCTTATGGGGCGTTCAGGGACAGCAGGTTCCTACAGACTCTGGAAATGAACCCAAACTTCAGTTGGGTTTAATTCTGATGCTAATTTTGACCTTTGAACCTTAAAACACAAACAAACACAGTCTGACTGTAGGATCCTTGTTGTTGCTTTTTCCCTCCAGTTTTCTCTCCTCTTCCTGCTCTGCCGCCTTCAGCCTTCACAAACTGATCAACCTCCCATTCATTTGTTGCTTCTCTCCCTCCTCTTCCTCTCCTTCCTCCCCATCCCGGCACCTGAACCGTAGGGAGAGCAAACCGTGTCGGAGGTAAGCAGCAGCTGACGTTTGGTCCCACATTCCTCCCTCTGCAGTGATCAGGTTTATCTCCACTGTTTTTATTCTCTAACTTAGATTTGCCTTCCTCTTCCTCTTTATGTTTAGTTTCCAGGTTTTAACTCAATGGCACTGAGAGACTGAAACTGATTTTAGTCATTCAGTTATAAAAAATGTAAAAAAAATCTGTGCACCTCTAAAAAATATTTCTTATGATTGTTTTATGCTAACTACTTAAATATTACCGCAGTAATTTATTCAACAGCAACCAGTTGGTTTCCAAAAACAAATGTAAAACTCCACCGACTGCTAATAAAGTCCTCCAGACCTCTGGGGGGAGTATAGAGTCCGTAATTTACTACTTAAATATAAACCAACTTTTCTTCTGGACATTCTGTCTGTACTGAGAGTTTGGTCCCAGATGATCGGCGCCCTCTAGTGGTCTGGAGCAACGTTGCAGCAGCATTTGTTTTAACCTGTCAGCCATCATTGTTTTAATGGCATCATTGTTTTAATGACATCATTGTTTCAATGACAAACAGCCTAAAGCATCAAGTAAAATCTTTCATATGATCACATAAAGCTCCACCATATATTATTGTTTAAATATTTATTTTGGTTATTTAGCCAAATGGGCAGATGAATATAAAATTACCCAGAATGCTGCAGGCCAGAGTGATGGATCACAGATGAGGAGAAAAGGAGATGATCATTGCAGTATTTTGTGAAATATTTAGATTTGAGGGTTTTTCATTGTTGATTTAAAATTGAGATTAGTAAAGATTAGAGATTAAATACCAGCTGGATTATAAATGAAGTTGTTTGTGTCTAGATTTTGTTTCTCTGTTTTAGCCTCCAGTTTCCTCACCTGTAGCCTCTAGCGCTCCCTGGCTGTGCTCAGCTCTGATTGGTTGGCTCCTTTGTTCCCCAGCTGCTGATTGGCCTGTCAGAATACGTCAATCTGACGTCTCCTCCAGCGGCGGCGCCCATTCCCCCACAGGCCCGACGGCTCCCACCCAAACCACCACCAGTACCAGCAGCAGCAGGCGGCGCCGCCCAGTTAGTGAGCAGCCGGCCGGACCGGACCGACCGACCCGTAAGAACCTCCTGCAGCTCCTGTTCTGTCTGGCTGCTCACTAACTGGGCCGGGAACCAATGACTGGAAACATTAATTACTAAGAAATTAACCCTGCTGGTCTGAAATCACTAAATATTTTTAAACGAGTTTTATTTTACCACAAGTTTAACAAAATGGCTGCTCAGTTCTGCAGTTTTTGTTTTGAAAATGAAATGATTTATTCTATGAAAAACTGTAAATTAAGTTAAATGGGATCGAGTGGCATCTTAAAATTGATTCATGAATCTGCTGGAATCGATCTGGTTCAGTTCTTTTGGAGCAAATAAAACCTTCAGATGACAGGACTGTTGATTAAACCATTCAGTACCTGTTGGGGGCGCTAGAGACCACATTAATGTTACAACGGTCGCTGTGTTGAGGAAATAAGAATCAATAAAGATTTTTACGTTCAATTATTCTAGATGTGGGGTAAAAATAGGAAGAATATTGTAAACCTTTTTACCCGTTATTGTTAGTTTTATTTAATATTTTTTGGCCACTGGAAGCTGGAGAAAACAAATGGTCCGAGCCGACGTCCTGGTGGAACGCCACCACTGATGATATCTGGTTCTTTAAAGAAAACTGTCCAAATGTTTTTAATGTCTAACAGAAGACAAGCTGCAGATGTGGCTAAATGTTTTTTCTTTTTCTAAAAGTTTTCTTGAATTATTAAACCATTAAATTTTCTTCTCAGAAATTTATTTATTTTTATTTCAAACAAACTGGACAGAAACTGAAGGCTGAGGATTTGTTGGTTCTCCCAATCGGTGTGTAGCTGCAGCCAAACCCGGACCCGCCCAGTCCAGTCCAGTCCAGCCCAGTCCAGTCCAGTCCAGTCCAGCCCAGTCTGTCGTGTCCCAGTTCCCCCACTGTGAAGAGGAAGGCAGCCTGGCGCTGCTCAGTGCAGCCGATCCGTTTGCTCTGATCTGTAATCCTGCCGTCATCCGATGAGCTAATGGAGCGCTGATCTGTTTCAGGGCGCCAGAGTCGTCGCCTCCCGCTCCTTATCCGACTTCACTCCTCAGGCGACCTTTGACATCAAGGTGAGGAGCCAATCGCCCTCTGACTTCAGGCTCGTCTGTAATTTACCAAACTAGAGGAGGAAACCAGATTGTGTTGTGAAATTGTCTCTTCTCTGCTGCAGAAATGCGAAGTGCACCGGCTGGAGGCGGGGCCTCCTGTGAAGGCGGAGCTAACGCGGGAGCAGGGCCTGCAGTATTACCGAACCATGCAGACGGTGCGGCGCATGGAGCTGAAAGCCGACCAGCTCTACAAGCAGAAGATCATCCGGGGTTTCTGCCACCTCTATGATGGGCAGGTACATCAGACTGTTCCATTGCGAAACAACCAAATGATTTGGAAAACCTGTTCCACTCCTCACCTGTGGGGGCGCTGCACCAAAAACCACTGAAGGAAATGATGTAACAACGTCTGAAAACACTGAGAGAAACTTCCTCCTTCACCAAATGGAAACAAAATGGAGGGTCGTCAGATTTTAGCGACATATTTTCATCTCACCATGAGGCATTTCTCCTGCCAGCATCAGGCTAGTTTGTTTTGGTTGTATTACCCAGAATGCCCTGCGCTGTAGTCCACTTCCTAGTGTTCACATGCATTTGAACTGATCCAGAGTTCATGACCGAGGTTTGCAGACGACCAGAGTTTGATTAGAGTTCAGACGTCAACTGAACTTTCTAGAGTAACAAACTGGAGTTGGATTAAACTGGATTAAACAGAACTGGTGTGAATGAAACAATCTGGTCTGACTTCAGTAT